AAAAAAACTATGACTAACGATTTTTAATATTTTTCATCTGCCTTTGAAACAATATACTAGGAGTCTAGAAAATTTCTAGAAAAAAAACTAAAAGAAAATGAAAAATGAAAATGTCCCTAAACAGTTCAAAATAAATCAAAATATTTTGAAAATGTTATCGTGTATAGAAAATGCAAATATAAACAACCAGTGAAAATTGCATGAATCTACTGTTAGGTTAGGTTATCTACGGTCATTTGTTTTAAAGTTACACCAAAAACCAAATTCAATTTTCTGAAAAATCGATTTTGCGTAAAAATTCCCGCTTTTCCTTAATTTTTCTTTTGTTTTTCTTGGCGCTTTTGAAAAGTACTGGGAATTTTAAAATTTGACCTCTCCAATGCACCAACGATATTCACTTTCATAACGAACAAGATACTGAAGTCGAAAATCGAAGCATTATTTCGACTACTTATCGTTTACACAGACATAATATAAAAAAAATATAAAAACACACATCATTGTAAAATCAATACATTCATCGTTCCACTCAGAATCTAAAATGTATAAAATGTTTAAAGGTACGCTTTCCCTGCTGTTCCACTGCATCTGGCGCTTTAGGGAAACCGTACCTAAATATCTATAGCTTAGGACTGAAAATTTAAAACAAGGTTCCTTGTAAATAGGTATATAAATTACTTTATTCACAATATCATCAAATATATCTTTATATATAAAGGAAAGTGTACTTTACCAAGAATCAACGCCCAGACCAAACCGCTGGGTCTAGAGACTTGAAATTTTATATAGAGGTTCCTTAAGCAATGTAGGGGCGCACTAAGAAAGGATTTTCGAAAATTCGACCTACAAGGGGGTAAAAGTGAGGTTGAAAGAATACGACAGTGGCGCCATCTATCAAGCAATATTTAATTTAAATATACAATATTGGTATTAAAATGAGTGAAATAAAAATAAAAATAATTTATATTGATATATAATAATAACAATTTAGACATCTCTATGACAATTAATACATCAGTTCGCGGATGTACTGGCTAATACAGTATAATCTATGGTTAATCGGGCATGTTTGTTTTTTTTTGTTTATATTACCCGGAACACGTTGGATAATTATTTAAAATATTATATTTATTCAATTTAATTGTTTGAATATTTTTTTTAAAAATGTCATCGATTGAAGATATTTTTGTCAATGGAATGTTGACACCTCAAATAGTTGTACCAATTATCGGTGATGGTGCCTGCCTTTTCCGTTCAATATCATTTCATTTGTTTAACACTCAAGAAAGATGTCAGGAGATCCGAAATACAATTGTTTCTTATGTGTCTGATAATTGGAATAACTTTATTACTATGTCTTACAATTCAAATGGTGACAACTTTTCCACTGCTGAGGCTTATGTTCGTGAAATGGTCAATCCTACTGCCTACAGTAGTTATTGCGAATTGGTTGCAGCTGGAAATATTTTCCCATATTTATTTCAAATTTATTATAATAATAATCTTTATGCCAAATTTGGTGTAGATACATTCCCAGTAAAAAGATTGCGTCTAACTGGAAATATTAATAGTGGTAATTTTGATGTTTATCTATCTATTCCTAATAAACTGAAATCAAGCAAAAGAGGAAATCTTTGTTACGGTTTGGCTTCGAAACTTCTTATCCAATTGTCATGCAGTTTTTTTTAAATGAAAGAGGATATCACGGAGCAGGTTTTAGGCATAAATAAAGTCCGATAATGTTAGTCAATAATTAGTTATCTATATTGAATATGGAGAGTGAAAAATGTCGTTACCTCATCAATCGAGAACGGCTGGTCCGATTTGGCTAATTTTTTTTTTAGTTGGTAGTTCGGGCAACAGAATATAGTCTAAAATAATATTATAGTGTCGTATATGCACTTTCCAGTGATATAGGTACCTCTATCGACACTTGAGCAACCAAGAGACCATAAATTAACCGGTTACAGTTTGGCTCTCTTAGACGTCGATATCGCTACCTTACTGTTTAGACTTTCAATCTTCAACGACCATAAATTAACCGGTTTCAGATCAGATTGAAAGAATACAATTAACGTAGGACTACCTTCACCGTTTATACTTTAAATCGTCAACGACCATAAATTAACCGGTTTCAGATCGGATTTAAAGCGTACGTAGAATTGCGTGGCTACTCAAACAGTGAGAGAAGAAATATAGTTTGCGTAAGACTCCGATTTAAGGTTAGCTAGCAGACGTTTCAACTTTTGGGTGAGTGCATTGTAAAGGGATTTGTCGATAGGATATCGAGTTCTTTGCCAAATAACACGAGCGCGACGTTTTTGTGAGATGAGAGTTCGTATGTAGGAGGGAAGATGAGGGGAAGGCTTAACGTGCAAGGGCACAGGTTTGGCTGAGTCCCAAACAGAGGTTTGAATATTAGTTGTGAGTAGGTTTACTGCGTCGTCGATATCAGAGGGAGTCTTTAGGCGGAGTTTAAGGCAAGTTTTTTCCGATAGGATTGTACTGAATTTGTCCCAGTCAGTTGGAAATTGAGATAGAGCTGAGGCGTTGGCTTTAGCTTGGGGAAGACAGTCTAGTGAAAGCATGACTGGTGAATGGTCTGAGCATGGGTCAATGAGATTAAATATTTGAGTGTGGAGGTTCCTTGGAATCTTAGTGACGAAGATATCCAGGATGTCTGGCATTTTTCGACGGGAGTTAGGCCAGTATGTGTAATTTGGAGGTGCAATGACGGTAGAGTTGGTAGATGGTAGTGATTGGAGGAGAGAATTTCCTCTGGGGTTTGAGGCACGACAGCCCCACTGTTGGTGCTTTGCATTTAAATCGCCACCTATGATGTAGTTATTGTTGAGTGTGGAGAAAATTTCAGTGAATCTGGCCGGGGAGATTTTGTGTTTCGGTGGACAATAAACAGCTGCGAATGTAATAGGGATATTATCAAGTATCAGAGATATAGCACAGGATTGGATGTCGTCGGATATGAAGTTTGGGAGTGGTATGTATTTAAGTGAAGATTTTATATATATTGCTGCTCCTGCATGAGCAGTGTTATCTGGGTGGTTTGCACGGTAGGAATCGTAACCAGGGAAATTGACGTACGAGTTAGAGGTGAAGTGGGTTTCAGATATAAGGACAATGTCAATTCTTTTTTCCTGAAGGGTGAGGAGAAGTTCAGTTGTGTGATTCTTTAATCCGTTAGCATTCCATAGAAGGGTGAGGAGAGAGTTAGAAGTATAGGAGTTAGGCATTTTGTTTAGTATCAAGGAGCTTGGAGATGACAGAGGTGAGGAGAGTAATTAGAGGATTGATAACAGATTTTAGTTCATCTAAAAACTTAGAGAAAACATCAATATCAGTTTTGGGGGAGTGGTTGTCGCAAAATTGATTATGAGTGGTGTCGTTACCTGTTACATTGGCATAAGATCTGAGGCACGTGTTTGATTGAAGATTGGAAGATGGTGAGCTGGTTGATGGAGTAGGGCATTGAGGAGGCTGCTTTTGATGGGGTTTCTGAGTGAGTTTGGATGAGGTGGGTGGGTGACGGCGGCGGTTTTGGAGCTCCTTGTGGACAGTGCAACCTTTGTAGTTGGCTGGGTGACTGCCGGGGCACAGCGCGCAGGTAGCTAGAAATTGAATTAATTATATCTATTTAATTATTAATTAATTTAAACTAATGGGTACATTATATCTACGATGTATCAACATATGATTAAATAATATTATGTAATATTTATTGAATATTATACTTAAAAAAATTACTTTGACTTAGTATTTACTACTAATACTGTATTAATTATATATTATATTAGGAACTATTATATTATGCATGCATATTATATATATTTATAACTTATTATTTGATAAAAATAAAATAGATAACATTTTTTAATAAAATAGATTTTTATGAATTAATTTAGCATGCAGCCTATTACTCCATTAGGTGCGCACTTTTACCCCAATAATGGGGTAAAAAGACGCATTAGTTATAATTTCTAATTATTCAGAATTTTTGGTATTTGCTTTGGTAAAATCAAATTTTGACTGTTTTACTGAAAATTTACATGGTCTTTCACACACATTATCTATATCTTTTCTTTTTAAAATATTACTCATTTTCTGTCTATTTAGAATAGGTGTTTCAAGTTTTTCATGATTATGATTAATTTTGCGTTCAATTATTTCAGTATCATTAATAATTTTTATAAAAGACTTACATGATGTTTTAGTACATCTCCATCTCTGCAAATAGGACTTTAATAATTTGTGGAAACAAAATTTGTAACCATCAATTACCCAAAGAATTTTGTTCTTCTCAATTGTCATTAGCTCCCTAGTGAACGGATGATGTTTGACTGACTAGCAATTATTCTTATGATATTGTATTACTAGGTATTTAATCGAATCCCGTCGAAAATTCAAACGGAAATGCCGAATATAGTTACATAATATATATTATTTATAATAGAGTTTGTCTTAATAAAGTAGATGGCGAATAATCAAGATAGACTTTTACAAATATACAACGACAATCGTTGTAGCTCCATACATTACAGTATCTACACACCTTATCACCACACGATAATAATAATAGACAGAATCGACTTAATTTGAAATTATAATTTAATTTATAATTTATTTCAACTGACAAAACAACATAATTTTATTCTTGTGTAAACAATCGATTTGAGTTTATCAGCACACAACTTGTATAAAACTTAATAAAACTGTCAGGACACAACTCGTGTGCCCCAATTTTATCACCGTTACACAACTCGTGTACCTACCAGAAATTTGGTCGGGAGACAACTCGTTAAATGCACAATCTAGGCCCATATTGAAATAAAATGAATCATCCTCTTAAAAGAAAAAAATGTAACAGAATGTGTTGTATTATTTTTTTTTAGGATCTTCAAACTTTTGTAGAATCGGCAGAGCATGGAGTTATTTATTTCAGTTTTGGTTCTCTGATTAACTCAAATCACTTACCTAAAGAGAAAATGAATATTTTTCTTGTCACTATTGAACAATTAAAACAAAAAGTAATATTAAAATGGATACCAGATGGTAGTATAAAATTATCTCAAAATGTTCTGACTGGTTCGTGGTTTCCTCAAAGTGATATTTTAGGTAAATATATGTCAGTACACTGCAAATTCGGAACGTATTTAAAGGGAAGTGATCCGATCAACATTTTTTTTTATTTTATTCACTTTACACTTATACTTATTATTTATTGTTTATAATTTTTTAGCAGGTTTTCGAAATCACTGAATTCCCCATATGTTCTAAAGACGCTTTTTTCAAGTGTCAACTAACTATATACCTAGATAAAACTCCTAATGCTAAATACTAGGACTTTATTTCAAATAGCATTGTAACATAAAACATTTATGTATACTATACAGCTCATCCAAATGTCAGACTTTTCATAACTCACGGAGGATTACATAGTTTAGAGGAAACCGTTTATTATACAAAACCTATTGTTGCTGTACCATTTTTTGGTGACCAGCATTTCAACATGAAATTAGTAGAAATTAAAGGCTACGGTAAACTAGTAGATTATTTTGAAATTACTGAAGAATCATTTGGAAATGCCATCAAAGAAGTATTATCGAATCCAACGTAAGCATAAATAATATATTATACATTATACATTTATACCACGCTGCAGCGTATACAATTTTTAATGTTCTTGAATTAGGTTTAAAAATAATGTAGAAATCCAGAGTCGTATCTACAGAGATCAACCGATGAAACCTTTACAACGAGCTGTCTACTGGATTGAATATGTTATTCGGAATGGAGGAGCTGGACATCTAAAAGGTGACTCCGTGGGATTAAATGATGTGCAGTACTTTTTGTTGGACATAGTATTTATTTTACTGATTTTTATTGTATGTATCGTTTGGTCATGTTATTTCTTTGTTGTGAGAATTGCATCTAAACTATATTAAAATATTACGCTGTACATAATTGTTGAAACGAAGTTTTTTATGGCACGATGAGGGGCTAGCTATTATGGAATAAACGCTCCTGATGAAATACTATTTTTATAATATATTAAACAGTTATTTTAGCCAAAACATCCAATTTTCATTCCATCATACTGATCGATCTAGTAATGCGATAATACTTTTTAAAACAGATTTGAATTCGTTATTATGTCTACTTGAGATTGGTCAGTCCACTTTCCCCAATTTCACCCTCCCCCCCTCCCAACCACTAAAAATTTAGCTTGAATATGTTAAAATTTTGGAATTTTCAAACGTTGATTATTCTGGATTTATTTGGATTTTAAAGCAGAAATCTTAAAATGTGGACTGACCGATCTCTAAGATAAACTCTAACGAATTCAGATCAATTTTCAGAAATATTATCGCATTTTTAGATCAATTGGTAGGATGGAATAAAAAAAAACGGGAGCGGTAAGTTGTAGTGACGGTCCGCGATTGATTAATAATTAATAAAATATATAAGTAATAACTAATAAGTATATATATAATATATATTCAATAAGTATTGAATTGTACGTAATATATTTTTTGCCACACCTGCACCGAAAGTTTGGTTTTCGATAGCGGTTGAAGTGTTTGAAAGCGTCCTTTTTCCGTTCAGCGGGCGGTAAAGTGGTAATCCCCAAAATTGCTGGGCGCACATATCGTTATAGGCATGACAAAAATAGTATGTGTGAAGGCCATTTCAGTCTTGTGCGAAATGCGGCCCTAGCCTACGGCTCGCGCAGTACACGTCACCCGCGACTGAAATGGCTCACTTCCCGCCCTTGCCACACAATATATTTTTTGTCACACCTGCACCGAAAGTTTGGTTTTCGATAGTGGTTGAAGCGTTCGAAAGCGTCCTTTTTCCGTCCAGCGGGCCGTAAAGTGGGAATGAGAATCCCCATAGTGCTGGGAGAGTATATCACGTGTATTCTATGCACCACCAGACACTGAATAGTGAATTCTATACCACGGTCCTTATAGAGCATAAACTTTTGGTTACATCATATATACATATATTATAATCTCCTTGACGCGTAATTGCGTAAACATTTTTATTTCATGAAATTGTTTTCGTAGAATAATTTGATTGTTGCATATATCCCTATATATAGTGCTTTACATTTGCTGGAATTACATTTCTTTGTGTGTCGCGTTTGGTATAGACTAGGTAATGGAAAACGGGTATAACGCGATAGGATTTGAAACAGCGTAATAAGATCTGCATATTATGCGTTTATAATTTATAAATTATAACAATTTGGTGACTTAAACTTCAATTTTAATGATAAGAAATCGGAAACTTTTAAAACTTTCCTTAAGGACACATTCAATTTACATATGATAAACAATCCAGCAGAATCTACAAGACTACAACGAGAAATGAAACCACTATCGATGCAGTATTTTCCAGATATTTGGAAAAAATTCATCATATTTCAGTTATCACAGGCCTGTAATTTTGATTAATATAATAGTAATTAAATGGTAATAATAATCATTTTCATTTTAATTTATTTTTCACATTTGCTTTTATTTTGAATGGTTCCACTAAAACGTATTTGTAATCTATAATATTTGTTGGAAAAGAAACTTCGTTTCTACCGGGTGTCCCATGACAGCACTCACTTTTTTAAACCTCAATCACTTAAGCATACCGTGGACAGTTTAAGAATTTTAAATTCTGTCAATAAATAGGGGGTCCGGATCCAAAAATCCCTTAGGTACGCTCCTGGTTGGCACAAGTCGTTGAAAAGGATAGGATAAAATAAATTCCAAACAGATTATTACTTGTGAATAGTAACTGGTATACATACGTTAATATAATAATATATTACGCTAATGTATTATTATCATTATATTGATATACAAATATACAATATACATAATATTATTATATTCGCAATATTATTATGTGTGTTACAACCCCCACAGGTTTTTTTTAGCTATAGAAATCTGTCAAAGCCCGAAAGTAACAGTTCAATTAATAAGTTTCACAGCTAGTAGTGTGTCCCCTGAAATCAGATGTATTTTAGGCCCTGGATGTATTCAACAGGAAAACTAATAACTGAGGTTAAAACTATCCGTGTACTTGGGATGTGCATATGACCTCTAGGCTCTAACGATTATTATATGAATAAGGACCTAAATATCACAAAGTAGCTGAAACAGTATATCATTTGGAATGGGATAACCTAGGAGCTATTAATTGAAAAAGAAGAAAAAAATAAGACAATTTAATCATTTATTATGATTATCAATAGGTTAAGTAGGTATAATGTATAAATAATAAATAAATAATACTATTGAACAAAATAGTAAAGGTAAGTATACAAAATCCAAATAAATAATAATGGACAGTAGATAATATTATAATAAGGTATCTTTTTATACGACTATACTAATATACTTATACCTACTTGGTACTTATTGTCATATTAAGATTTTAAAGTATGTATTATATATATATATTGTTAAAGTAGGTAACCAATCTCCTGCAGAACAGTATGACAGTCATTCAGTAGGAAATAAATATGCTAAATTTAAATTTAATGATAAAAATTATTATTATAAAAAATGATTCTGAGTGAAGTCGGTCTAACTTTTTGGTAACCAAACAGTTATATATTTTAATAATAATATTAACATTTTGACAAATATTCGTATTTTTTTTAGTCTTCCTGATTATTTTAAAAAGAACTGAGAATTTTTAATTTCCCTAAAAGTACCAACAAGAAAGTGTCTAAAAATAAAAAAACACAAAATTGTAAAATAAATACATTCATCGCTACGCTCATCAGAATCCAAAAATTTAAAAATTACATTATAATTTATAATAGTGTTATTTTGTTAATTCATAGTTTAAATTATTAATTACAATAATTTGCTAAACATTATAATATTATATTTAATTTAGTAAAAGTATTAAAGAATAAAAAATTAAAACATGTTCGTGATGCATATTTAAAGTATATGTCTGAACTCCGAAGTTAAAAATATTAGAAGTGGATCGGAAGGTACACAAAAGTGCACACAATATATGCATACGCATGAACTATATCATTTTCAAATACGAATACAAAAAAAAAAAAAAAGAAAGTAAATTTATAAGTTTTAATTTTTTTTTATTATTATATAATTATAAAGACTCCGCACAGGAATATAATGGGAAATACACAGACCGTATTGGTCCATCTGTAATACTTGGCCCAGTTAGTGCCTGGCGGGCAGTCTCTTGGAAAGTCTGAACGAGGACATTAGGAATCCTACAGACTGCTTAAGACTTACCCAGACCAGTCCGGGATTTAAACAGGTACTTCCCATTATGAGTCTCAGAGTCTGAAAAATCAATCCCAAGACCTTCCCGGGTGGGTCTATGTGCTGTTAGAGATTGTTTGTTTACAATAATAATTTATGGGAAATTAATATTAATTTTATTAATTGTATGACTACTTATACTAGTAGCCAGTAGGTACTACTCATATATATATATATAAATATTGTGTCTACTCATTTTCTAAACAACGATTTTCATTAAACGATATTAAGAATTTTGTACTATTTTTGTACCTACTTATTTATTTTATTTCTATTTGTACTTAAATACTTTTTTTCCGAGTATTCAGATACGTATTTTAAATACTTTTAAAAATAAGTATCTGTATCTGTACTTGAATACTTTTTAAAAGTATCTTTTACAAGACTAGCAACTATACTATCTAAAGCCGTTGTACAAGTACACCGATCATATCCCTATCCTCTTAAATTATAAAAAGAGAGGGCTAGCAATAAATTTAAGTATCCGGTACGCGTCTTCGGTCTGTAAATTTGTCTTAACAAATCGTAAATTGTTTTCTGCTGTAGAGTTTTGCAGTTCCTTTTCTAATTTAGGAGGACAGGGTATATAATCGATGTACCTACTTGAAAGCAACTTTTCAAACTAAACAAAATGATAGTGTAAGAAAGCAGACAGACCTTGTGTCATTCTATTAAATATTGTGCTAATAAATAGGTAATAATAAAAAAAAAATTTTTAGTTACTTAATTTTTTTTGGTTTTTCCGTAAATATTATATAATTATGATTATAATATTATAATTGTTTTAAAATATGCGCAATGCCTTTGTTAATATGGAATAAAATGAATGACCTATTATAAATTATTTGTTTGAATTCGTGGTTCACATTGTCTGGTATATATATATATATATATATATTATATACATAAGAATTAAATTATATAGTAAATTAACTTACCCTGATTCAACTACAAGGAGAATTCTGTTGTCGAGATGACGAGATCGATGGTCGATGAGTGTCGTCCGAGCCGATAAAATAGTTTATTTAGATAATATACAGTCACAGATAATAATATTATACCTATTGTCGTATATGTAGACAGTCGTCACTATAATTAGTAATTACACATAATATAGGTGGGAACATTTTTATTATAAATTATTAACATAGGTCAGGCCAATGAAGCAAGATGTGCTGAGGCAGCAATAATTATTTTGCTATATAACACCACCGGACGCGCAGGCACGGGGAGTCCCGTTCTCGCTGGTTTTTCAGCGAGAACGCGGGTGCGACAGTCGTGGTATAGACTAAGTGTCTTTAAATAATTATTGAATTATTTATATTTGTTTTACATTTTTAATAAAAGTGTTTCCGACCCGAAAATTATTTGTTTTGACTTTTGTTTGAGTAGCCACGCAATTCTACGTACGCTTTAAATCCGATCTGAAACCGGTTAATTTATGGTCGTTGACGATTTAAAGTATAAACGGTGAAGGTAGTCCTACGTTAATTGTATTCTTTCAATCTGATCTGAAACCGGTTAATTTATGGTCGTTGAAGATTGAAAGTCTAAACAGTAAGGTAGCGATATCGACGTCTAAGAGAGCCAAACTGTAACCGGTTAATTTATGGTCTCTTGGTTGCTCAAGTGTCGAT